GCGTAATCGTTAAGCGTTCTAAATTCTACTCTAATAATAACTAAATAAGACTAAGTAATAATAATAAAATAAATAATGATAATAATAAAATACAATATCGGAATAAATAACTAATAAAATAATAAAATAATAATAAACTGTTCTATAACATCATGAATCCGGTGTAAGGGTATCCGTTATATCCATAGTTGACAGTAGTTATATATATTTTAAACAAATTTATTAATTATTAAAGCTTAAGTATACTTTGAACACTTTTAGACACTTGGATATTTGGACGTTAGACAGTATCAAAAAAGCCTTTGAACAGTCATAAAAAATTTTTTTATGAATTTTTGGTATAAACTATTCCATGCTGTTATTTCTATTTCACCTTTACTCTAACCTTATACAGTGTTCAGTTTTTTGTTTTATATGAACCATCATGGTTAATTTTTATTGTAATCTAAATAGCAGAACCAATCACTTATAATTCTGTTAAATTTGCAGATCACTTGACCAAATTCAGAGTTTTCTGACTCTGAATTTGGCTAAATGATCTGCAAATTTGACCAGAATTATAACATATGGGCTAATTTTTTGCGACCAGGGTAAAATCGCCACCCAAAAAATTTTTGAAAATCATGATATGACAGGGGTAAAATCACCATCCAATAAGCTATCTTCCCCTAGATTGCTACCAAAATTTTCACCAGCATGTGATCATGTGTACCACATCGAAAAAATTTTAAAGTTCATTTATGCTTGGTTAGAGCTTATATTAAGGTTAGAAATTAGATTATCATGTAGTAAAATCGCTCAAAGAAATTTTTTTGTTAGAACACAAAAGGTGGTTTCATACTTAGTTTTTTGAGAAATAAGCGATTTTGACAAAACAACCATTTGTTTTGAAATTTTCTGCTCGTGTTATGTTACACCTGATCTTGGAATATAATTGGTTGCGCTACACTAAAATCACGTGCCAGTGAAAATTTTGGTGGCGATCTAGAGGGGGAAGTCTCCAGACACCTACCAGATTACGTGTAACTGCACCTACCAAATCATGTGATCATGTACCTATATAGCACTGCTAAGAGAGTTTGCAAAATGTTTTTAAAAGTCCAAGCCACCCATTTCAATAATAAAATAAAATAATTGAACCAGGAAAAATAATTAGTTATATCACTAAATTATGTATAGTTTTCGTGCTTCATATTATTTGTATTGCCGATATCATAAATTTTTATTTGATTCCTGTTGTTTAGTAGGCAGCATTAAGGTTAAAGCATTTATGCAATATCAGAAAACTATTATTTACGAACTTAAAACATGAACGCTTTGATCAGGAATTTAATTCTTGGAATAAAAATTTAAAGGTAAATACATTTAAGTTAATTTTTTTTTAAAGAAATGGCTATTTAATTTTCAGAATTTATACTTATCTAATTTTGTTTTATTTGAATTAATTCAGTTGAAATAAAAATTTTGATAATCGTTACTTAAGTTTGAATATTTTATACTCTGTCTTATTTATTCGTATTAAAATACTGCATATAACTGTCAATTTTATATTCATATAAAGTTAGCTTTAAAAACTTTTTAACGAACATATTAAATTTGTGTCATAAACTTTTTTATCAATATTAATTTACTGTACCTTGTAATTGGCGCATTCAAAGTAAACTGCTTTAGTAGAATGTAGACATTTTACAGTAAGATAAGCTATCAAATTTGCATTGTTTAAATTTTTTAAAATTTACATATTTATTGACTATGATTAAAAAATGCAAGTTCTATCCAAAATAATATTTGAGTGGAAATAATCCGGCTACTATTTTTTTCTGGGCGAAGTTACAACTATTCTTGCGTAGGTACATAGTCACGTGTCTGGTAGGTGTAGTTGCACGTGATCTGGTAGGTGTCCGGAGACTTTCCCATCTAGGGGTAGTTCAATAAGTTTCGAAAATCATGTGATATGTCCATTTATCATGAAAAGTATCATAATTAATTTAGTGATTTTTTCTTCGATTCTTCAAATGAAAAGCGATCGTTACAATCTCGACAAACCAAGTGATTTTTTTAAAAGCATAAAATTCAATAACACAATAACCTAAAAATATACATTGATTGCCGTAATTTCCACTAATAATAAACGAAACAAAAGAATGAAAATCGAAATAAAATTATAAAAACTAATCAAGAAAATGCAATTGCAGAAAGCCTTGTAGATTTTATTTTTAATGGTCTTCCGGAAGACTATAACTGATTATTTATTTTAGCAAAAAGTTTTTATCATTCTGAAAAAATATTGAAAAACATAATGAATCCAAATAGTAATAAATGGTTCGATAGTATTAATAAAAACTTTGAGCCATTGCATAAATTGGAGGAGGATTATAATCATTTTAAATGGCAATAGAATATACCAAATACTTAGAAAACCGTAATCATAATACACGTTTATTGATTTTATTCGAAATAAATAAATAAAATGATTAATTTATTGCTTATCGTTATTATTTTGTTAGTCTAAATTTTTTTCGTTTGTGTTTTTTGTTCAAATTACATGAATTTTCGTGCTCGATATATTTGTCATGTGATGTTCGAAACTTTTTTGGGTAGCGATTTTACCCCGGTCCCCTTATCCTAACGTCAAAAGTTAATTTATTAATCGAAAAACGCTGACGATCTGCGGCTTGTTTTGGCCAATGAAATGTTAGCGTATATCATCACGAGATCGCGAATTTTTATACGGTTGCTATGTACTGTATAATCATCCATATTTGTCATGTGAAATGATCAGACTGTGGTCCGCATTTACCAAATACGTAGAACTGTTTACGCATCAATAACCATATATTATCAATGAATGTGCTGATTCCTTCATTTTATATCATAATATTTTCATTTTAAAACATATTGTTATTTGGATGAAGTGTGTTATGCATAATAAATTTTTATATAAAAGGAATTAAATTATATGGATGTTAATAATATATCTATTTTAAATGTAACAGTCATGTAAAATGTAAATGATAAACCATGTACCGGTAATTCGTTAGAACATAATGTATTAATAACTATATTAGAATGAACTATAAGCTATCGATATGTGATGATATCTTTTTCTATGAAAATCTTATGTATTCGCGTTTCGCTGATATCAATTACCAAATCTGTCTTGTATTAAAAAAGTATATAAATGTAATCTCTTGGTCTCCTACACGTTTACTTTCACTTATGTTCAAAGTTATTTAATCTTCACTAAATTCCTTTTTTTTTTAAAAAAACAAAATTATATTACCAATTTATGATCCGAGATAGGTAATTATATAGCTATTGAAGAATAAATTTTCCTTATAATCCGTGTAAACTAATAATACCTAGGTAAAGGTTTTCTCAACGGATCTAAACTCTAATCCGAGATGACAACAGAAACTAATACAGATAAGAAAGATAATGACTCAATCTATAATGATGCTGATGGAAAAATTCAGGATGAAGAAAAAAATATTGAAAAAAAATTGGATGATGACTTTGAATTGATCTCAGCTGTAAGTTATAAAATCTTACTCATTACTTCAACATCTTTTTTGTCTTCTTTAAATTATATTTAAAAATGTTAATTTAAAAATGGTAGGCCGTTAATACAGATGATGATCCAACCTTACCATGTTTGACTTTTCGATTTTGGTTGCTAAGTACTGCAAGTTTTATTGGTCAGGAATATCCGGAGCGAAGCAGTTATGTTACATGATCTCCATATTTTATTGATCAACAAATTTGATTTTATTTCGTCATATAGTTCTTTACGGCACTAGGTGCCTCTATATCGACAATCTTCCTCTTTCGTATAAATGGTACAAGTTATTCTATATATTTCGTGATACTTGTATCATATGCTATGGGTAAATGGTTGGGAAAAATCTTGCCGAATAAGAACATTTGCATTAAAAATTGGAAATTTAATCTAAATCCAGGTTTATCATTTTTACAATATTTATTATTTGAATCTTTTGTTCATTTATAGTGTATAATTATTGTGCGTCGATTTACAGTCCCTTTCAACTATAAGGAACACGCATGCATATTAACTGCGGTTACCGCAGGTGGTTATGGTGCATTTGCTGTGGTATTATTCATGTCTATATCTTTAATCTCGGTGATTTTTTTTAATGGTCTTAAAATTTTTTCAATATTTATCTTTTCAAACTTTATTTAAAGGATATTATCACAGTCCAAGAATTATTTTATGACACTCGAATCAATTTCTTACCTGGTTTTCTATTACTGACTAGCACACAAATGCTTGGATATGGACTTACTGGCTTTGTTCGAAAATGTATGTATCATTATTATTTGAAATATATGTAATATTTACTCAAAGCCATTAATACT